CCCCTGGAACTCTCTCCAGGTAAACTCCAGGTAACTGTCCTTAAACTGTCATAATTTTTTTTTTACCTAAATTCTGCAATATATATCATAGGTTAATTTAAATTTGTTTACTGTTCCTTAAAATCAATGATATGTATACATTTTTTTCACAGCACTCAGATCGATCTCTGCTGATTTACGTCAAAAACTGGGGTACACTTTGTGTATTCGGCAAAGTGCACCCTTGCCAAATAGGCTTTTTATCAACAACAAAACACACACACACACACACGTACTCATATACAACAGGCCTAGTGTCTAATCGACATGTGCCTAGGACAAAATGGTAACTAACACACACACACCAACATACACACACACAACACACAACACACACACACACACACCAACACACACACACACACCAACACACACACACCAACACACACACACCAACACACACACACACACACCAACACTCGATCGAAGACCAGGCAGAACTACAAAGGGATCTGGACAGGCTGCAGACCTGGTCCAGCAATTGGCTCCTGGAGTTCAATCCCACCAAGTGCAAAGTCATGAAGATTGGGGAAGGGCAAAGAAGGCCGCAGACGGAGTACAGTCTAGGGGGTCAGAGACTACAAACCTCACTCAAGGAAAAAGATCTTGGGGTGAGTATAACACCAGGCACATCTCCTGAAGCGCACATCAACCAAATAACTGCTGCAGCATATGGGCGCCTAGCAAACCTCAGAACAGCATTCCGACATCTTAATAAGGAATCGTTCAGGACCCTGTACACCGTATACGTTAGGCCCATATTGGAGGTATGCGGCACCAGTTTGGAACCCACACCTAGCCAAGCACGTAAAGAAACTAGAGAAAGTGCAAAGGTTTGCAACAAGACTAGTCCCAGAGCTAAGAGGTATGTCCTATGAGGAGAGGTTAAGGGAAATCAACCTGACGACACTGGAGGACAGGAGAGATAGGGGGGACATGATAACGACATACAAAATACTGAGAGGAATTGACAAGGTGGACAAAGACAGGATGTTCCAGAGATTGGACACAGTAACAAGGGGACACAGTTGGAAGCTGAAGACACAGATGAATCACAGGGATGTTAGGAAGTATTTTCTTCAGCCACAGAGTAGTCAGTAAGTGGAATAGTTTGGGAAGCGATGTAGTGGAGGCAGGATCCATACATAGCTTTAAGCAGAGGTATGATAAAGCTCACGGCTCAGGGAGAGTGACCTAGTAGCGATCAGTGAAGAGGCGGGGCCAGGAGCTCGGACTCGACCCCCGCAACCTCAACTAGGTGAGTACAACTAGGTGAGTACACACACACACACACCAACACACACACACACACACACCAACACACACACACACCAACACACACACACACACCAACACACACACACACCAACACACACCAGCACACACACACACACACTCACTCACTCACACTCATTCTGGAAAACCTCATGCATCAACATGTCAGGGACACTAGCAGAGAGAGAGAGGGAAGGATGAACTAGCAAGACTGGACATGCATTCACCCTGAGCAGTTCAGACATTGAGGACATCACATATGAGAGGCCCTTTGGAGCTAGTGATCATGTGGTTCTGAGCTTTGATTACATAATAGAGTTACAAGTGGAGAGGGTAACAGGTATGAGGAACTTCCTGCAGGAGGTTCAGTGGGACAGAGAATTGGTAGGAAAGTCAGTAAATGAAATGATGGAATACGTAACAACAAAATGCAAGCAGGCAGAGGAAAGGTTTGTTCCCAAGGGCAACAGAAACAATGGGAAGACCAAAGCGAGTCCTTGGTTTATGGGAAGATGTAGGGAGGCAAAAAGTAAGTGCACTAGAGAATGGAAAAGGTACAGAAGGTAAAGGACCCAAGAAAATGAGGAGATTAGTCAAAGAGCCAGAAATGAGTATGCACAGATAAGGAGGGAGGCCCAGCGACAGTATGAAAACGACATAGCATTGAAAGTCAAGTCTGACCCGAAACTACTGTATAGCCACATTAGGAGGAAGACAACAGTCAAAGACTAGGTGATCGGGCTGAGGAAAGAAGGTGGGGAACTCACAAGAAACGATCAAGAGGTATGTGAGGAGCTCAACACGAGATTTAAGGAAATATTTACAGTGGAGACAGGAAGGACTCTGGGAAGACAGAACAGTGGGAGACACCAACTATTGTGTTTTTTAATGCCTAATTCTATTACTAACTTAATTTATTTTTTTTAATATTCTTGGGTGTCTGGAACAGATTAATTGGATTTTCATTATTTCTTATGGGAGATATTACTTCAGTTTTCGTCCATTTCGGATTGCGACCAACCTGGTCTCAGACCGGGCCACGGGGGCATTGACTTCCAAAACCCTCTCCAGGTAAACCTTCTGGAACGGATTACGAATGAAAACTGGGGGTCCAATGTATATGTATGTGTGTGTGTGTATACAGTAGGGCCCTGCTTTATGGCATTTCACCTTACGGCATTCCGTTAGTACATACATTTTAAATTATGACCAAAACTGACAATACAGCTCCCCCACCTGACTTTCTAATACGGTCATCACGCCCCATCTGGTTTGTTTACATTCTCAGTGAACTCCAAGAGCACTGCATCACCATTATGTCTGGAAACTTTCCAAAATTTCAAGTGTTTTAAAGTTATTTCATGTTTTATATATATGTACTCTGATAATTATACTTGTGTACCTGTACCTAAATAAACTTACACACTGTGCTGGCATGCAGGTACACATTAAAATCACTAAGAGTCTCTTATTAGTCTTGACGATGCCATATTAATAATGATAATAATAATAATACGCAATAATAATCACTCTGAGGTGCATTAAATGTCGTATATTACATTGATATGTATAAACATTTTCATTAATTCATCTATGATATTTTTTTCAAAATTATATAATAAACATCCTGTGTAACATATAAACATGATAAATATGCCCCATAGTAGAATAAATTAACATAAATATGAGATGTTAGGTGTAGATGAATGTGTATCAACCATAACCAGAAGCTTTCATCTGTTTGTTTACATCCTCTGTGTCTCTCTTCTCTCTCATTTACTTGTTCTCTCTCTCTCTCTCTCGTTTGTTCGATTTACCTCGTTTACTCACCCCTCACCCTACATTAAGACTGCAAATATTTTAAGGTAAGTAATGAGTGTACTGTATATGCATTTTATCACCCTCATCTGAATCTGATTCTGAATCGCTCTGGGACACTTTAAATGTCTTAGTATATTACATGTGGGTGGGGTGGCCTGGCTGGCTACCATACCTCCTACACCTGACTGACAAGAAATACTACTCACTTCTCACCCTCCATTAACCCTTTCAGGGTTTCCGACGTATTAGTACGGCTTATGCACCAGAATTATTGACGTACTAGAACGCCTAAATTCTAGCACCTTCAAATCTAGTGAGAGAAAGCTGGTAGGCCTACATATAAAAGAATGGGTCTATGTGGTCAGTGTGCACAGTATAAAAAATATCCTGCAGCACACAGTGCGTAATGAGGAAAAAAAACTTTGACCGTGTTTTTGGATTAAAACAGCGACTGCACTGTATTTTCATATGGTATTTATGGTTGTATTCTAGTTTTCCTGGTCTTATTTTATAGAATGTAAGACATATTACAGAAATTAAGATGATTTTGATTGGTTTCACAATGAAAAGTACCTTGAAATTGAGCTCAAAGTAGCAGAAATGTTTGATTTTTGCCAAAGTTCAAAAGTAAACAAATCATGCTAAGCGTCCAATACACATCAACTGGTGAGTCTAATATTCTTTCACAAGTGTGCTGGTATTATTTATACCATTTCTACACTAATGCTGTAGTCTGCATAACAGTAAATCTTTTATTTTTTGTGAGAATAAAAATTCAAAGTGGAAAGCAAAAGAAATGTAAGAGGGGCCTGGGGACGTGACTAACGAACAGAGAACTTGTTATTTTAGTGCCAAGAATGTCTGTCTTGTTTATTTTGGACCCTATTTGAATATTGGCATCTTCTGAAATTTGCGTGAAATTGGCAAAATTGCCAATTTCTAACCAATTTATTGGATAGTTGAAATTGGTAAATGGATGGTTTCTTGTACTCATTCGATAGAAAAAATGGAGTTCTAGTGAAATAAATATGATTTTTGTCGACTAGTACACAGGAATTGGCCGAAAGTAGGGCTCAGAGTGAGCGAAATCGCCGATGCGTAAACAACTTTTGAGACCACTATCTTCGCGAGAGCATAATTCTGTACGTTTTCCATCAGATTTCATTATTTTGGTGTCATTATGATTGGGAAAAGATTCTCTGTCATTTCATAAGAATTTTTTTTTTTTTTTCTGAAAAATTTTCAACCCTGAGAACGAGTTTAGGAGAAGGCCTCTTGACCCTGAAAGGGTTAAAATGACAAATATTTTAGGGTAAGTAATGAGTGTACTTTGTGTGTACATATTTTACTTTTTATTGTTCTTAATGCCCAGTTCTATTGCTAACTTAATAGATGTTAGTGTAAACTTGTTATCTGACATTTGTAAGTGGAAAAAATGGCAGTCTGCTTTCCGTTTTCTGGCGGTAGCCGGGAACCTAACCTGCCACATAAATGGGGCCCCTGCTAAGTATATAATCTCAACAGATACCAAGAAACAGACAATAAACCCATAAAAACTACCTTGGAAAACACCACTAAGTCATTATTTTAAACCAAACACATGGTCAGAGGTTTGCTTTTCTCATCATGCACTGCATAGGGCAGACCCACTCTCTCAAATCTAAGCCAAAAGTTACCACTTGCTTCATATTTGAGGCTACTGTGCTTAAAACACAGATCTACATGAGTGGCACTGGTATCAGTAATGTAGATTTACATGATAGACAAAAAAAGGATTAATCTTTTAAAATTTTGATATTAAAATTTAAAAAATTTGTAATGGAGATGTTTGTGTGCATGGATTAATGGTAGTTTGTTTGCCACAGGTTTGGAAATCGGCATGTCAGGGTCACTGGATCGGCAGTCACCGCTGAGTGTGACACCTGACACTGCCGCACTTCTCTCACCCTCATCCTCAAACTTCTCAAATTCCAATGGAGGACCTGCCTCACCTAGGTAAGTTCTCTTTTCTAGATTTCAAGTTTATAATACTTGAGAGCAACTCAGTTAAGTTCTCAATCAAATTGGATTTAGAATGTTTCTCCGAGTTATTCACAGAATCATCATTACTCTCTTACATTCACAGAGGGTGCTTAGCTAGGATAGATTATTTGGTTTTAATTATTCACAAAAATTATATTGGTTTGGCCAGCTTAATAGATAGCATTTTAGCTATTTATAAACGAATCTTTTATTATTTTTCTACTTATTAGTTTAATCGTACTTCAGCATTTTAATATTTTACCCATTTTTCTTAATTTGCAATGTTTATGTATTTTATCATACTGTTGTTACACATTCATTGTGGCCATTGAATTTATGTGTTGCTTTATCTTTCAAATTTCATTAATTAGTATGTTATTTGGCTATTCATTATGTGCATAAACTTAAATAAAAGTTTTTCACATTGTGAGTATTCGCCGTTTTCTTGCAGTATATCAACGCCTCCCTTCACTATTGGTTCTAGTGGTAATATGCTCAGCTCCAATAATGGCAGCAGCAACAACTTGAGTACCTCACCTAACCAGTACCCACCAACACATCCACTCTCAGGATCTAAACATCTCTGTTCTATCTGTGGTGACCGAGCATCTGGAAAACACTATGGAGTTTACAGGTACAGTCCTCTCATATTTTAAAGTACTGTATGTAAGTTACTGTTGCATTGTTTTAAATGAGACTTAGGCTATACAAAAATCTTATTTGTATATTTATTTTCAATTCTTAAGTACATATGCAGTCAAGTTTGATATTAAATTCAGTAGAATGTGTTACTTTATTTCGGGTGGATTTGTTTGATACATAATTATATGGAGGAATTCAGATAAATAAAAGTATGTATGGGATAAGATGTAGAAATAGAGTGTCTTGGGACATAGCTAGTGCATTCATCTCACAGTTATTTTAAAATCATGAATTACAATAAATTTTTGTGAACATCTTGTCAACTTGTAATTTTTGGTGTTTGATGCATTTCATGATAGTTAAAAAAATAAAATTTGGTAAAAATAAATTTTGAATACCTTTTAGAGGCTGTGAGTGGTCATTATTACAATCTGGTAATGCTCATGCTTAGCAGTGTGATCAGAGAGGATAGTTGATAATAATAGCTGCTCCTAAGAATTACTCTGATGGTTGAAGTGGAATCTGGTAGGAGAGTTAGGACTGCCAGTAGAAACTTGAGTCTCACTTTCTGCAAGTTGCAAGTAAAATTTCATTTAAAAGCATATTGTATGTACTGAACTCTGTCTTCCATGGAGAGTGCAATATTTGCAGTACTTAACCTAAGCTGTAGTCAGTAATTTTGCACAGAATTCAAGAAATTCTGATGTAAATTGTGTCCCAGATGGACACTGTAGTTATTCCAGCTACTAAAGCAACTTGCCCTCTGTTCATCAGGTGCATCCTCAGGCCTTTTGCTATATAACATTTGCCTTCCAATTTGAATTTGTCATCACATAAAGAAAAATCTAAGTTTTACCCTACTTCTCAGCTAATAAAGTATAAGAAGCTAAGAATATATGAACTCTGCAGCAGGCCTACTGGTCCATGCTAGAGAGGTTCAGTTTATACCCACCCACTCCTGTACCCATTCAACCTATATTTAAAGCTACCCAAAGTTTTTATCTCAGTGATGCTACCTGGGAATTTGTTCCACTCATTTACAATTCTGTTGCCAAAGCAGTACTTCCTAATATTCTTTCTAAATGTAAATTTCTCCAACATGAATCCATTATTGCAAGTTCTATCTTGATTAGTTATTTTTGGCACTATGTGTATCCTTTTTACTTATTCCTGTTTTTCATTTCTTCACTTCAGTCATATCTCCCTTAATTCTACACCACTTTCTTAGAGGGTGCAAGCTCGGTGCCTTCAGCCAATTTTCATAGGAAAAGTTTCTAATATGTGGAATCAACTTCATTATCCTTCTCTAGTGCATTTATGCCCATCCTTTAACATGAAGACCAGAACTGAGTACAATAATCTAAATGAGATCTGACTAACGATGATTGGTCATGGTTCAAGCCATCCCAATAATTGAAGCAGTGCTAGTAAAAATCCATAAAACAGACTGTAGGGGGCAGTGGGGCCTCTTTACCCTTCTTCAGGAAAATCAGTAGCAGGACCCCTACACTTCCTCAGGAAAATCAGTAGCAGGACCCCTACCCTTCCTTGGCAAAATCAGTAGCAGGGCCCCTACCCTTCCTTGGCAAAATCAGTAGCAGGGCCCCTACCCTTCCTTGGCAAAATCAGTAGCAGGACCCCTACACTTCCTCAGGAAAATCAGTAGCAGGACCCCTACCCTTCCTTGGCAAAATCAGTAGCAGGACCCTTACCCTTCCTTGGCAAAATCAGTAGCAGGGCCCCTACCCTTCCTTGGCAAAATCAGTAGCAGGACCCCTACACTTCCTCAGGAAAATCAGTAACAGGACCCCTACCCTTCCTTGGCAAAATCAGTAGCAGGGCCCCTACCCTTCCTTGGCAAAATCAGTAGCAGGACCCCTACACTTCCTTGGCAAAATCAGTAGCAGGACCCCTACACTTCCTTGGCAAAATCAGTAGCAGGGCCCCTACCCTTCCTTGGCAAAATCAGTAGCAGGGCCCCTACCCTTCCTTGGCAAAATCAGTAGCAGGACCCCTACACTTCCTTGGCAAAATCAGTAGCAGGGCCCCTACACTTCCTCAGGAAAATCAGTAGCAGGACCCCTACCCTTCCTTGGCAAAATCAGTAGCAGGGCCCCTACCCTTCCTTGGCAAAATCAGTAGCAGGGCCCCTACCCTTCCTTGGCAAAATCAGTAGCAGGACCCCTACACTTCCTTGGCAAAATCAGTAGCAGGACCCCTACACTTCCTTGGCAAAATCAGTAGCAGGGCCCCTACCCTTCCTTGGCAAAATCAGTAGCAGGGCCCCTACACTTCCTTGGCAAAATCAGTAGCAGGGCCCCTACCCTTCCTTGGCAAAATCAGTAGCAGGACCCCTACACTTCCTCAGGAAAATCAGTAGCAGGACCTCTACCCTTCCTTGGCAAAATCAGTAGCAGGGCCCCTACCCTTCCTCAGGAAAATGAATAGCAGGGCCCCTATGCTTCCTCAGGAAAATCAATAGCAGGGCCCCTCCCTTTCCTCAAGAAAAATTGCCAAAAATTTAAATTCTCCATCATTTTGGAGCCTATTGAATGCCACTTCTAGTCTAAAACTGACCACAATCATTTCCATTTCCCTAGTATATCTTCTACTTTATCAATTCATACCAAGAAACAGCCAAATAAAACAATGAAAGCTACCCCAAAACATACCTCAAAGTTGCTATTTTAAACCAAACACATGGTCAGAAGTTAACTGTTCCCATCATTTACTAAGTGCACACCCACCTCATGGACCCATTATCTCATGTCTAGACCAAAATTTTCTGATCATATCATAATTGAGGATGTTAAACATGATTAAAAAGTAGCCCTACATCAGTGACAGTGAAAGGGTTAAGATCTTGTGTTATTTTTATTCTTTAACACATTGACTGTCACAACCCCAAATCCTGAGGTGTCTCCTGGTGTTGAAAAATATTTAAAAAAAAAAAAAATAATTATTTTTTCTTATGAAATGATAGAGAATTTTTTCTCGATGGTAATGACACCCAAAAGTATGAAATTTGATGGAAAACTTATGGAATTACGCTCTCGTGAAGTTAGCGACCTCGGCGATATTTACAAATTGGTGATTTCACCCACTTTGAGCCCTATTTTTGGCTAATTACATTGTTCCAGTCGAATAAACTCATAACTATGTATTTCTATCGATTGAGTACAAGAAACTGCTCATTTACCGATTTCAACTACCCAGCATACATATGGGGGATTTCCAGTAGACCCCTGGCTGTCTTCAAGAAGGCACTGGACAGGCACCAAAAGTCAGTACCTGACCAACCAGGATGTGGTTCGTACGTCAGCTTGCGTGCGGCCAGCAGTAACAGCCTGGTTGATCAGACCCTGATCCACCTTGAGGCCTGGTCTCAGACCGGGCCATGGGGGCATTGACTCCCAAAACCCTCTCCAGGTAAACTCCAGGTAAACCTAATAAAGTGGTGTGAAATTGGCAATTTGGCCAATTTCACGCAAATTAAAAAATATGCCAATTTCAGAATAGTGTCCAGAATGAACAATGTAGACATTCCTGGCTCTAAAATAACATTTTCTTCATTCATCAGTCATGTCTCCAGGCCCCTCTGATATTATTTTTGCTTTCTATTTTGAATTTTTATTCAAACAAAAAATAGAAGATTTACTGTTATGCAGACTACTGCAGTATTGTAATAATCATATAAATAATGTCAACCCATTCATGACTGCAAATTAGAATGGCTAGTTGGACATTTATTGGACAATGACATCATTTGTTTACTCTTGAACATTGGCAAAATTCAAACATTTCCCCAACTTTGATCTCCATTTCAAGGTCCTTTTCATACTAAAACCAATCAGTATCACCTCTATTTCTATATGTTTTCCATTATATCAAATTGACTACAGAAACGAGAATATAACCTTAAAAACTAGGAAAATACACCTCAGATTTGGCATTTTAATCCAAAAACATGGTCGGAGTTTTTTTTTTTTTTTTTTCATTATGCATTACGTGCTGCAGGATTTTTTCATATGGTGCACACTGACCACACAGACCCATTCTCTCACATGTGGGCCTACCAGCTTTCTCCTGCTTGATTTGAAGCCACTAGAATTTTTTAGTATAGTATATACGTCAAACACATTGGCTCGTAAAACGTATATATACGACCGAAACAGTCAAAAGGTTAATAGTCTAATATATGGTACTAATAGGAATTAAAAATCGAGACAAGTTACAGGATAATTCATAATTTGAAATAAAAAGTTACATTTGTGGTCACAGTGGGACCCATGCAAACCTCCCTATGGTGCATAAATATACCTAGTTGGATAAATCTCATCGTAGCCAGGTGGGCCAGTGGCTTATGCGCTCGCCTGGAGTTTTACCACTCATTTGCCACGAGCGCTATCCCAACCCGTACTGTGGTTTATAACACTATAATTTAATGAAGGTTCACTGGTACTATTTTATGGCATTACAATACAAAATAATGTAATGCCATGTAAGTTCACTGATGATTGTTTCTGCACACATGGTTATATAGGAAGATTAGAGCAGGCACAACACTCTGTAAAATTAGTGCTTACAGAGGTATGTCTGAAAAAAGAGATTGCATCATATGATAAATATATGGGTAAGGAAAAAATGCAGAAACAAGAAGTGCAAGAGGATGAGTAATGAGTGAGAGCAAGCTGATTCCAAGATTTACTTGGAATTTTATCTTGCCATCATGTAATCACATTAACTTTAGGTGTTTTTTAGTAGAAGCTTTAACCCTTTGAGAGTCGCCAGGCCCTCTCAGAGACTTGTTCTCAGGGTTGCCAAAATTTAAAAAAAAAAACTTATTTTTTCTTATGAAAAGATAGAGAATCTTTTCCCGATCATAATGACACCAAAAGTATGAAATTTGATGGAAAACTTACAGAATTATGCTCTCGCAAAGTTAGCAGTCTCGATGATGTTTACGCATTGGCAATTTTGCCCACTTTGAAC